AAAAGTTCTATTTTTTTATAATAAGAGAAAATTAATTCTGGTCGGAAATTAGTAACAATTATGTAATGTGGGCCAAAATTTTGAAGACTCTCGGACGTTAGCCAATCAAAATCGAGGATCTGCCGTGACAATTTTGTTGCGATAGACGAAAATTTGGTTATTTTAATTTTTTTTAAACTTTGATTAGATTGATATCTATTGGAAGATATCTCGATTGTCCACAAATTCAAATTCGATAATTTTTTTATTTGAATGAATTCAAATAAAAAAAGTTCATCGAATTTGACTTAGTGGTTGTCGAGATGTCTTCGCTCAAAATTTTAAGTTTTTAATTTACGGGGGAGAATAACGAAAAAAAAGCCCGAGATTCCCCTTATTATTCAGCTATACAACAACCGGCTCTTGTATATTATTTGATGAAGTGGAATTTTGAGAATTTATATTGTTAGCAAGAAATTTAAATTTACTCGCAAAAAAAAAAAACCTTAAATTTAGGAAAAATAACGTATTTCGGAAATAAATGAGTTTAAAAAAATCTTATTTATGTATCAAAATTTGAAATCGGAAAATGAAATGAGAAAAACAAAAATTTTAAATGCTTAGCAGGCTAAAAAGTGATCCTGGGTTTGGCAGCATTTTGTTTCGGTCGTAGTAACCAATAAAGAAAACGAATATGGTAAATTTCATTTTATAAAAAGTGTATATGAAGATTAGTTTTCTTTAGAATTAAACATATAGGCTGTTTTTATAACGTAAATCAATTTTAAAGACTCAGCGATTCGAATATTTGGGCTGCCGTCAATAGAAATCAAGCAGAATGACATTTTTTTTAAAAAAAGTAATCACTTTAACTTTCATAACTTCTATCTCGATGAATTTTGAGGCTATCTTGATGAATTAATGTTCAAAAAAGGTTTTAAGATCTAGACTTTCTTTTGAATATTAATTCATCAAGATAGCCTCAAAATTCATTGAGATATGAGTTGTGAAAGTTAAGGGATTAGTTTTTTCTAAAATGTCAATCCGCTTGATTTCTATTGACAGCAGCCCATTTAGCAAAACTTTTCACCGATGCTCGAAAACCTATAGTTTGTGATCAAACAATTTGAGAATATAACATTCACTAGTAAAAATTGTCAAAACCCATATATATAGTTTAAAAACTGACAAACTTATAAGACCAGTTTAATCACTATACTGTATATATATTAGGTAAAATATAAATATATACTACATAAAATATTAAATGACCCAATGTAATTAAAAGTTTAGAAAAACTTATTTATAATATTAAGATAATTCCTTTATACTTATAGGCAACTTTTAGTAGAGTAAACGCAAGTAACAAATGGACAGATGTAAATAGTTGTTTTATAATGCAATCCAACGGTAGCAATATGTTTTTTAAAACAACTGCAGTTATAATTAAAAAGAATTATTTAAATGTATATACAGTATATACCATTAATAAATTGGCAATCACATAATGTCTTCAAAAAATCCTATAGATTCCTTTGTTAATCGTAACTTACGTGATAACTGATAAGTTAAATTCTTCTACAACTCTAAGGTAACTTCCACTTATTATGTAAATATAGCCCCCCTAGAATCAGTCATTTGACACAATCATTTGACAATTACAAGTTCTAAAATAATCGAATTTGTAATTGTCAAACAGTTGTGTCAAACGACTGACTCTGGGGGACTATATCTACCTAATATCTGGAAGCTCCCTAATCGCGTGCAATTTACGATTTCTTTCGCGGGACATTATTGCAGTTCTAGCAAACTCGGTCAATCACTCACTTCTATATCATTAGAGAACAGGACACAGAGTTTTGGGCATACCCTTTACTAAAAGATTTACATATGTAAAAAATTAACAAAAAATTTTTGAGGTGCATGTCTACAGACATGCCCCTAAATTTAAAAAATTGAAGGCATACCCAGAAGGGCATGCCTTAAGCTAAAGCTGTGCCCTGAACCCTATATATCATATTTCTTTTCTGATAAATTATTTACTGGTCGTGTAACGCGATGGCTTTAGTACACGTGGCCAAAATTTGGTAACTATTTCGTGTTATACATCATGAAAAACTTTAAATGCAAATATATATTTACTAATGTTTGCACCAATTTGACCTTATTATATATATCTAGAGTACAACCATCCACATTCCCTTATAAATGAAATCAGATAATTAATACAAATATATCACTCTCAATTTTTAGATTTATCTAATATTGAGATTGGTTTTTCTACAAAAAATGCATCTTAATAGTATCTTAATAAAGAAAATCATTAATTTTATAGTTTATAGTGAGTGTAGACCAGATAAAAATGAGTTTAAGTTACCGAAATACATATAGCTGGGGATACAATGTATTTGAATTGCATCATTAAAAATATGGATGACATTAACCGTCTCTTTAGTCAAATTTCGATTAATAAAGGTGTATTTCAATTTTATAGAAGTTTTTTACTTTTGAGAATATAATGTTATTATTATTTCATTTATCAGAGGTCAGATTCAAGAGGTTTAAGAAAAAAGTTCAAATGTAACATCTAATAAAGATAAATAAAAACAATACCAAACATCTATAATATATCTGTGTAAATAAAGATTTAATCGAAAATTTTTCTGGCAAAAGTGGTTGGCGCTTCAAAATGAAATACAGTATTGAGAAAGTAAACCGAACCTAAACTATTACCACTATCGTAAACTCAGAAAATAAGCACCACACTCTGATTAATAGAAATAGCAATACCCGAATTACTCCCATCAATCTGATATTTAAAGAATTGATTGGTGTGTTTTACGATGTATTTTTTTGTTATTTTACGGTTTATATGACCTTTGAGCATCTTTTAAAGAAATATATTTTTTATTAACTGTTAAGAAATTCTTTTGTAATTTTGAAAAAATATAGGAGCACTTTTCAGATGATATATATATATATGAAAAGTAGAATTTAAAGACCAATTATGCCGAAACAAATATGTCCTAATTTTATTCGAAATTAGACATCCAATCATTAATTCTGAATCACCTTATTATATTTGATTAGACAAATTTACGTTTCCACGACAGACGTTAAAATTTTAATTATATTGAGATATCATTTTATTCTGACATGTTAGTATCATCAAATATCCTCAAGATGTCTTCTAGTCCAAAATATTTCATCAGGCCTCTCTGTTCCTTACAATAAAAATATTTTTTCGCTTTTCTATATTCATTTAAAGTTTTCATCATCTTTTGTTGATAAACTTCTATTGGTTGGATTTCTATATCTTCTTGTGAGTAAGTATTCTGATTTATTTCAATTTTAATTCTATTGTATGAAAAAATTGAAAGATTACAGCTGTTAATATTCCTTGAGACGAAAGTGGATCAAATGAGATTGCACTATCACCAAGTGCTATCCAACAGTTTTCGATAGATGCTAATAAATATTAATATATATATATGTTGTGCCTCAGATGTATTCTTGCGTCAGATGACACCCGGCCTAAGTTAGATTAGGGTTAGGGTAAAATTACGGTAAAGTTAGGAGTTTTTTTAGGCCCATTATTGCCGATCATTTAATGCTGGTCAACCTATGGTCATCTGACGTGCGTCAGGTGCAATCTGACGCAGGTTTTAATCTGACGCACAACATATATATATATATATATATATATACAGTTTTGTATTACATATCTAATTAATACTGCATATTCTCTAACACTAAATGTGTATCAACCAACCGTATATAGTGATATATAAAAACCTCTGGAGAAATGTTCTTGTCTTCAAACTTTAGGGACATATTTCAATAGTGGTGATGCATGTAATTTGCCGTCCACCTTATAATTTGATTTAGTCCATCTATATATAGTGGTAAATACGAAAAGAATTAAAATTAATATATCTTTAGATTGTGAATCAAACACATTTACTATTTACTACAAAGCCATTATAATATTACAAGGGAAGATTAGTATATATTATGTTTGGAAGCGATCTTCGATAAGATGTTGTTATTGCTCGTTTGAGATCTACTGGTTCCGGAAGCGGAACCAGTTATTCTTCTTATTATAACCTTGGCATATTCTGGATTGTTTTTGTTTGACCACTCTAGCTTCCTAAAGTGTCTAGTCGACTATCGGTTTTTTTTTTATTGGCTCGAAAAGGGTGTTTAAGTTTTCGTAACCGACCCTTTGGCAAGTATTAGGTCTGTTACTGGTTTTGGACAGGAACAAAAAAAATTTTTTGCGGGAGAGGCAACATAATACGTTTTTATATTATATACATACTGTAAAATGTTAATTATTTACAATAAATAAAATTGAAAATAAAATTTTAAAGATTTTATCGTTAAGGGAACATCCATTAAACGTACAGTATTATATAAAAATAGAGACTTTGAAGATAATACCATTGTATTATTTTTGTATTATCTTTAAGGTCCCTATAACAATGCCGGTTTAACGTAAATTATGGACGTCCCCTTATTGAATAAAAATAATAAATTAACAAAAAAACAATGTGATTTTAAATATCAATTATTGATAATTGCCGTTACAAAAAACTCATGCGAACTTTTGACACATATAATGCCTATAGCTTTTCAGATTTAAATTTCCAGTTTTCCTTCTGAGTCTATTAAACAGAAAAAAGAACTTGCAACATGACGAATTTTTATTTTTTGTGTTTTTGCTTAAAATATAAGTTTATGATACGTACGTATACGTATTAAAATTTTTGTTTCTGAAACGAAATATGTAGACTTTACGTATTAATTATTTTTTAAGGCACATGATTGTCATTTTAAACTAAGATTTTGTTTCATCCTAATTAGATTCAATTTCTGGATGCTGAGTATAAATCAGGGTCAATTGAACCGGGAACCGGTTATTGTGGAGTAAGATTTAAAAGCTTTCATTCATTCTTAGTTCAAATCAAAAAAAATATATTATTTACAATATTTTTCATGGAGAATCTCTAGTAGAATCTGGAGGTAAAGGTTTAGAATCTTTAGTAGGATCTGAAGGTGGAGGTTTATAATCGTAATTCCATCCATTTAATGGTGGAGTTTCTGTTGGAATCTTCATTTGTCTAGGAAACATCATAATTTTATTTCCCATTTGTGCGCTATTAAATAATCTAGGCCCTAATTTTTCAAGTTCAATATTTGCTTCATTTAACATTCGATATTTTGCTGCTAATTCATTTTCTCTTTCCTCTTGTTGATTACGTAAAAATAATTTCCATGCTCGATCGATAGTTTCATGTCTTTCGAGATCTTGTTCTGTCATTTTAGGAAGTTCAGGTTTAGGTGTTTCGTAAAGAATTCTTTTAATTATTTGATAACGTGTGTCGGTGATGTTGGCATTTTGTGAACCAGGAATATCTGGTGATGAGGATTTAGGTTTGGATTTTTGAATTGTACGAGCTAGAAGACCACGAATCGCTGTTGTTGAGAGTGCTGAACGATAAGAAAAGTGATTTGTCATTTTTTTTTTTTTTTTTAATGACAAATTATGATAACGATAATCATTATTAAATAAAGGAAATTTTATTAACATTTAGTCATGTGACTACACTAAGACCTGGGTCAAAATGGAATTCTTATTAACAGAACTACAGAGTCTTAATATGGATTGTTTGCTTTGTGTACGTACTTGTCGTGGCTCGGATTAACAGGCAACGCATAATGCCTATATACGTTAAGAAGTTCATCTGTAATTTTTTGTCTTTTACTTATCTTAGACTTATTCCTCTTCACGTGAAAAATAGTTGAAACTTTACTGAAAAAAAAACGGTTACCGTTGAATCGTAAAGTAAAATGGAAGGTAATAAAGACGAAGCACTACGATGTCTAAAAATAGCACGAGATCATTTAGCATCAGGAAATATACCTGGCGCGATTAAATTTGCACAAAAGTCAATAAATTTATTCCCGACAACTGAAGCACAAACATTTCTTAAACAAACTGAGTCTAAAAAAACATCAAGCAATCGAGAAAATAACGATCGTCAGACGTCATCGCCAAGTACTTCTAGAGAACATAGAGAACATAGACAAGGAAGACAAATAGGTGAATACACTACTGAACAAGCTGAGGCTGTCAAACGAATAAGGGCCTGTAGAACGCATGATTACTATGCTATATTGGGAATAAGCAAAGATGCTACTGATTCAGAGGTTAAAAAGGCATATCGAAAGGTTAGATAAATATATGTACAATTATTACTATTATTTAGTTTGTTTTTTTATTTTTTTAAGAATTACGCTTGAATTATTTTTTTAGGATATTTTCCAATCAATTCAAAAACTAAATTCATTAATTATGCAATAATTGCTAAAACTCTTTCATACTTCCGCAACATAGTTGGCTCTACAAATGCATCCTGATAAAAATGCTGCTCCTGGTGCAGATGAGGCATTTAAAAGTTAGTAAATATATCCTGATAATTACTATTCTTATTACGCGTTAATTTCTTTAATCGTAATGTGAAATTAATGTCTTTCTTTTTTTACGATAATTAATTTAGTGGTTAGCAAGGCTTTCCAAATACTCAGCGATCCGCAAAAGCGTGCCATATTTGACGAACATGGTGCTGACCCCGATTCACGAAGTAGTGGAATGCCATCTGGTTTTAGAAGCTTTAATAATGGATTTGGAAACGGTGCTGTTTACGCTGAAGATATTTCTCCAGAAGAGATATTTAATATGTTTTTCGGTGGGGATGGTATGCAATTTTTATATAATAATTTTATAATTTTATATCTTTTATTTTATTTTATTTTTTTTTAATTCTTCAATAGGCTTTCATTCAGCGACCTTTGTTGGTCCTGGATTCAGTGCACGGAGGTTTCAGCCACGCAGACAATCACCAAATGGAGAAGGAGCTCGAGAACAACACACCTCCCCATTACTTTCATTTTTTCAACTTTTACCTCTTATCCTCCTCTTCTTATTCTCTTTCTCTTCAAGTTGGTTTTCTCCTGCACCAGAACCAATGCCATCATATTCCTTTCAATCAAATGGATATCATACAGAAAACAGATTTACTCATTCACTACAAGTTCCATATTTTGTTGAACCTCATCAATTTTCATCTATTGAACAAATTCCACGAAAATTACGTATATTTGAAGATAATATAGAAATTGCATATGTAAAAAAATTACAATATGATTGTAATACTGAGTCAGCGATAAGACAACGCATGATAAATGATGCCAAGGGGTGGGTATTTCCTGATGAGGAGAAATTAAAGGATGCGCAAGCAATAAAATTACCAAGTTGTGAGAGACTTGTGGAACTTAGTAGATCGAAAAGGTATAAAGAAATTCAACGATTGGCAAGAAGCTGAATTTACAGGAGGGGTTGTCCTCGATTGCACAAATTGCAAATAATTTCCGAGGATGTGACGCCAATGATCGATAATCAAATTCGATTTTAATCATATAATAAGTTCATACATAGTTCAAATTATAAATTTATTAATTGTAATAAAAAAAGGAAAAAAAAAAAGAAAAATATAATTGTGTTTTTTTATGTAAGAGAAGGTATTTATTCAAATAAAATAAACTGATAAAAATTTTATAATTTGGACGATTTTTTACACGCTTTAATATGAAGACAATTTATGAGTGCTACCTCATAAAAACAATGTAGCGCCATTTTCTAGATTACATCATAATTTCCATTTATCTGTCATCACACATGGTGATAATTTACTAATAATATATACCTACAACTAATAAAATGCTAACCCTAACCCTATGTGATGCCAGGTAAATGGCCTGTCGGACCATCGGGAAAATAAGCAACGTAAAGAATATACCGATACTGTATAAAGTAATTTGATAAATTGCGATATCTCGTGTGACAATTTTTAGAAAAATTGCCCGAATTCAGCCACTGGATTATAAATTCATCAAATATTCATATAAAATACGGATGAAATATCTCGTTAGTCGGTAAAGGTTATCAAATGGAATGATTTTTGTATCATTCGATTTTTTTCAATGAAATGAATCGATGCTACAAAAATCACTCGGATCCAGTCATTGGGTCATAAGATAGTTTCAATTATTCAAACTACTATATCATTTTATACAGACTAATCAAACTATCGATATTATCAATTTTTCATATGACCCAGTGGCTTAGCTTCCAAATATAGGTCATTAACAAAATAACTGCTGTTTTATATTCATTAATGTTGACTATTAACTTGTTAACTGATATCTCCGGTATCTTTGAACTTTTATTATGTAATTCAATTTATAACGTTTGGGTATTATTGTGTACAAAAAAAAACAAGATAAAATAAAATAAAATAAAATAAAGTAAGGTACCGAACCTAGAAATCTGCGAGGTTCCGGTATATTATAGAAATGTCAAATTATGAACAAAAAAAAAAAAAAAGTTAAGGATAGACCACGTTTAAACTACTTGGAAAACAATATAAAGTGACGGAATCAAGTATGAACCGAAAAACTACAATTTAAGAATCCTTTTTTTTTTTTTTTTACTTTTATACCTGAATTGCAAATGTTTAATAATGAAATTAAAAAAAAATTTTTTTTTGAAAATTATGATTATACACTCTCTTCTGGCGTAGTACGCATGATTGTTTCCATTCTTTTAACTCTGATATAATCTGAAACGCTTCGGATAACAATAAACCAACCCAAGAACATAAGGATATAGCTATAAACGTATTATAATATTATATGAGATTAATCAAAAAAGGCAATTCAAAAAAACCATTACTAATCCAACTAACCTTAGCCATGCTCTACGTGCTAATTCTTTGTCACTTAAATCAGCCTCATCATAATTATAATACACGCCGTCATCATCAAATGACCTACCGCGAAGATAAAAACCATATTGTACTAATGTGATACCCAAACCAGCTCGGGAGCCATTCTAGATAGGGGGAAAAAAAAATTAATAAAATGGTCAAAATTAACAATTAGCTATCAAAAAATTCACTTCGTACCTTGGCAGCATGATTAGTATGTAAAAGATATGTTAATAAGAATCCAACAAATTGGAAACTCATTGATACTATTTTTTTTTAAAAAAAAAAATAAAATACATTAAGTAAATTCAAATAATCACAATTGTATTAAGAACCAACTGATTATTTTGACAACTTACCAAGCATATTCCAAATGAAACTGAAAAAGTTTCCCACGGGTAAACCTTCAACGAGAATTTCATCCCCGCATAGTCCAGGTGCAATTATAGTCGTTTCCCAGTATGGGGGTGTAGCGTCAGCCGCAGCAGTTTCGTATGACTAGACATAGCCAATATTTTGTTAATGACATTCATTAAAATACAATGTAAGAGGAAAAATCCTATCTTACTGGTGGATTTTCATCATCCTTATTAGCTTCCGTGTCAGGCTTAGCCGACAGGTTGGAGAACACTCCGTCAGTGACAATAGGCAAAGATACTGGTGTTGTTTGTTTCTTTATCGAGCCAAATATAGAAAATCTAGTATTACCGTTATTCGCAGCTTCGTTATTATCTGTAGAAGTAGTTTCATCCTTCAAATGTTCAAGCATGGGCTCTGACTCTATTATGTCATTGTTATTATCAGTTTGTATAGAATAAGCGGGACTTGGAGTGGGTGACGCAGAGGATTCGGCACTTGAAGACGGAACTTGGAGTTCAACGACCTGAACGTCGTCATTTTCAGGTACCTGATTATTAACAGAGAATATTTTAGCTATGCCTTTGAAGATTCTTCACACTTGATCAGCCTCTAACACAAAAATAGGTTGATGCATTCTAACATGATATACTAAAGGAATCTGCTTACTCGTGAATATCCACTCATTTTATATATTTTTATATATATATATATTGTATATATATTGTACAAATTCTAAAGTTAAGAAAATTTACAATGAGCTGCCTTATATTGTATTTCTCGAAAAAAATAAAAAAAAGAAAAAGAAGGAAAGGAGAAATACGTGACTAATTTACGGCTAAAGCTAAAATAAATAAATAAAGTAATAACCTATTAAATATATTTTTAGATTATACAAAAGTGAACATTGGGTCGTAAAAGCGTAAACTTTATAACTAGCAGCCGTTAGAAACTTGAAGAAACCAAAGCCATACTCAAAATCACGACGGTCTTTAATGTAATAATTGTCCAATCATATATCATTTTTTGAATTGTCGTGAATATGCACTACATATAACAAAGATATGGTGTAACCACATATGGTAACATATATAAGATATCAGATTTATCAATTTATTTGGCAATGAATTTACTTTTTATATATCATTTAATAGAAAAAATTTCATCCAACTATGTACCATAGTTTGTTATAAATTGAAATTACTTTGTTTGCTGGACTTTATTTCCCCGGGCTCGGCGGACGTTCACGCTCAAGGGGAACAAATTTCAATGCCTCTCCGTCATATCTATTTAAATAAACGTATATATATTTATTTATCTATTATTACTTTGGACGTAATTAATATAATAGTAATAATATACCTATAATCGAAAAATAATTCTTGACCAGGTTCAAGGTCGCTCATCGCGTAAATTCCTATACGATGTTCACCATTTACTAGCGTAACTAAACACCAAAAATTAAACGGTTACTAACGAATCAAACATGCCTACAATTAATTGAAACTTTGAAAAATTACCACGACAAAATGCATTTGGATCATTAGAATGATTAATAAACCTAAATTTATTGCCCTTTCGTGTTGCGTCTACAACAAAATCTTTAAAGTAAAAGATGTCAATATAATTAATGTCTCAGCTCTTATAAATTTTCATATTTTAATGCCACTAACCTTTATTCAAATTGAATAAAAAGCTAGTGCCTCTTTTATCGTATATTTTTCCACGTCTATCTGCTTCGGCTTGTGAAATCACCTATAACAGTAATGTTTGATAAATAATTTTAAAAGTTTAACTCACAACATCGAATAATATTGATTAAACTAATACATTTACCTCCCCAATGTATTCTCCCAAATACTCATTTTTCTTGACTTGTTCTCTTACGAAAAGACCCCAACCAGCCACAGTCGACTTTCCAACAATTGTGCGCTAACGTAGATTGATAAATAACACAATTGATGCTTGATCAAACTTCGTAAAGCATAAATTAAGTCATAATTACCTTTGTCAAAGCTCTTTGTATAGCTACATTCTTACACGATTGTCTACCCATAAATTGTGCAGTCAGTGGTTCTAAGTATTATACAAAGTTCGGTTATTTTAAAAATAAACATTAATATAATAAGCTTGAGCAAAAAAAAAAAAAAAAAAAAAGTTACCTGAGGCTGTACAGCTGCATAAATCAGGATCACATTCACGATAATTGGCAAAACAAACGCATGTTCGGTTGCTGCAACATTTCCCAGCACCTGTACAGTTACATCCTGGAAAGCGTCGTGGACCTTTACAACAAAATTGGATTATTGGATTTGAAAAACATTCGATAAATAGACAGTTTTCAATAATAAAATATAATAATAACAATAATAATATGCTTACAATCTAGTTCACAATGACAATACTTTTCACAAGGTACGTTTCCTTGCCTGCAGGGACATGCTGAATCGCAAGGTCTTCCAGGGTGATCACATGGATGATATTCTGAATGGTTTTCTGCATCAATTTCTGAAATTATTAAAAAACAAGATTATTTATATATAATGCTATTCTTTCTTAGGAATTAATTTCATCTAATAGGCCAGATTCTTTACCCATTTTTGCCATTTTTTTGCCCTTTTTTCGCGCATCATCAGATGACGAGCCAATTTCTATATGTTCATCATCTTTATCAGTCTCTCCTAATGATTGAAATCTACGAAAAATCTGTCAAAAAAGATTTACCTAATTAACAAAATGTCTCCGCGAAATGTATAATAAATAGTTAAAATTTTAAAAACCTGTTCACAAGTCTTAGTCATAACTATCGTTGCTACACTGCAGTAATTCTTAACTCCCATAAGATATCCCGCCTTTTCAAACAGCGCAATTTCAACATCATCCCAGCGATCTGCCATATATGAATCTTGACTGTCCTCTTTCAAATGAAGATAGCAATTCGCTCCGCAAGGTTTGTTTTTACTAATAGGGGGGCGTGGGCGTTTTTTGTTTCCAGATGGTCTAAAGTCGGTGCCTAACATATAAATGTACATAAAACTGATCCTGTAAAATCATGTCGTAACACACAGACTGAATGATAAAAAGGAATTTCCTATCATTATATTTTTTATATCAATATTAGAATATTGATAATAAATAGTGATTTAATACAAACCATGAAGTTTACAATCGTACACATAACATCTGCGGCACCAAAGACTTGAATAAGAATGCGTCATCACATCTGGAACTATGCTACTACCTGACCTGGTTTGAAGACTTAACAGAAGAGATATTTCAAATTTCTTCTATAAATAAACAATATGTTTATTCATAAAGTCCTTAAGAGATTTAATAATAATGCAAATAATACCTATCCAAGTCCATGGCTCTTGTTTCACTACGTGCATACTCCAAGTACCTACGAGAATAGTCATTAGAACCCCCGTTGTAATTATATAATTAATAGCTTGTTTGTCTATAATATCTTACCTACTTACCATCTTCTTGATATCTTTTCCTTTCAGGTGTTTGGCAAGTCCTTTAAGAGTAGCCTCAATAAATGACACATCAATGTTCTCATTATTGTTATCGCCAGGTGTATTTGCCGTTACTGGTGGTCGTGTGGTCCTTGAGGTCGTTGAAGGTGTGGAAGATGCTTTGTTCGATTTTGGATCTTCTAACTTAGCTATAGATTTTTCTACGAGC